AGACAAAGATTGTGTGGCAAAGTGTTTAAATTTATTTGGGCAAGAAGATTGCTTGTTAATGCAGAAATATAACAGGATACAAATCAGCTTTTGACTTTTGATCAATTAATCGATTAGATTTACATTTATTAAGTAATTTCCTGCAGAAGAGCCAATTAATCATAGATTGAAAATAAGATGAAGAATGCGGATCCTTCGATTTTCAATTAAATGCAATCATTTGCATTTAAATATTTAAAAAAGTTAATGAAGACTTGAATAATAATAAAATATATAATTCCAATAAATTCACATTGGAAAACTTTAACTGGGGAATTTATTTATTTTGAATAAGGTCTAACTCTAAAAACTTATGGTTGCCATGCTTTTTTGCTTAGTACAAGTATTTCAGTAAATACATGCTCGTATGTACTTATATAGGTCAAGATTGTTGCATATTTTAGTTAAAAAATGCAAGTCATTTGCTTAAATGAATGTCATATGGGAAGTAGAAGCAGGCGTATTGTATCGGATTTAGGGGCACAAACTGCTGTTTCTCTTTTTGTCTTTAAATAGAATAAATTTTAATTAATTTGAAATTGGGAATTGGTATATTCTCTAGTAATTGCACAAAGATTTTTCTATATCCCTGAAGTTTAAGAGTTCAAGAGTTCATTTCTATATTTAAGAAATATGTTTCAACATTTTTAGTAAACCAGCATGAATAATTTTTAAACTAAACTAACAATAAAAACATTTTTCTCTATATTTTACAATACCGCCCTCAAGTCGTACAAATTTCTATATTTAAGAAATGTGTTTCAACATTTTTAGAAAAACAGCATACATGTTTTTGAAACTAAACTCACATTAATAATATTGATGTATTTAATAATTTCAAAACCAAAACATGAAATATGTTAAATATATACCTAACAAATCGAGCGCTTTAAGCAGTGTATTTTTTATTAATTTAAAAAACAACATTGATTTTGTTGGAATTAAAAAGAGTGTATTTTGATTCGATTTTGTTATTCTCGTTGCCACAAAATTGACAAAATTTAGTTTACATTTTTTTCCATCTCTGGCGACCCACATGGTCCTGCCCAGTTTTCAGCCCATGGCTCATCCATGCGCTCCGTTGACAACGACATGCGGCAACAGCAACTGTCGCTGTTGCTGTCACTTGATGTCGCAGCGCATTAGAATATGTTGCATATAAAAGGTTGCACTTGCAGCGACACACACACACACACACACACACACTCATACACTTGCTCCACATGCATATGCAAAATGCAGGCGCGCGCGAAATTTTATCTTATGACAGCTGCTGCTGTTGCTGTTGTTGCCATTTCTGTTAGTGCCACTGCCAGTGGCTCTAAGTGCTCAACGCATAGCCGGCTAAAAATTGTGCAGTTGATTTTATTGTTGTTGTTGTTGGACTGCTGGTGGTGTCATCCACATGCTCGTTATGTTTTCTGCTCTGTCACGACGCACATGCTCCTGGGCATGACTAACACGCAGAGACTCGAGCTGCTCGCTGGCATAAACAAATGCCAGCTGTAAAAATCATAAATTTTATGCAAAATGCAGAAACATTGCGCTCCGTTGCGCTTTCACTCTCCTGACAACTGGCCGTAGGGTCATCACTTGTGTGGATTTGATCCTTTGGCTACAAAAAAATGCTCCCACTGCTGCGCAATAACAGACAAATGTTCCCAAATGTAAGTGCATTCGTATTCCGTGCACATTCAGCTGTGGACTAAATGCAGGTATTTTTCTCCAAATACACCTCATATCCTCTCCACAAGCAATGGAAGGACTAGTTAGGAATGGGCGCCGACTGCAATCCTTCCAGACAAACAAATGAATATGTACTTTCAAACACATTTCTTTTTAGTTGCATATTTATTTAAGGGGGTTTCGTTTGCAGTTGTGTTTTACACTTTTGCTGACTTGGATTAAGTTTAGTCTCTTTTCTATGGTGATATGAAAGTTATTTTTATGGTATTTTGGTGATTTACCTTGAGCCCAAATCTTAATGCTGTTGCAAATATTTCTGGGACTAGACGTTTGGATTCTGAGCAGTCTTTTCAAACAGGTGTTAAACTTTTCTTATTACGATATATACACAATTTGTCAATATTCTGCTTTGATTTTAAAACCCATTTCTTTAGCCAACATTTTTGTTTTATTCTTTAAATAACGAAATACAAATATGGAAGTAAGAGTAGTAAATAGATTTCGAATTAATGAAGGTTTTTGTAAGTACTGAATGCAAAAAGGGTCTTCCAAAGGTAACATAATTATTTACGATAAAAAAACAGACTTCGGTTGCGTTATGTGAAACGGAATATTTAAGTTTTTAAATTTTTATTTATCTATCAGCTGAAAGAACTCAGTGTTTGCTGCTATTATACTTATATAGCTTCTATATTGTTATTATAAAAGACCTTCTTCATGTTAATTAATATTTATAGCCTGTACTTTTAAATGAGTGTTACAGGCAGAAGAAGACGGGGCAGACCCCAAGATTCTAGGCACATATATTATCAGTATTGCGAGATGAGTGGATGTTCGCCCGTATGAACTCCGACAACTTTTGTAACACCTGGGAACATTAAACTTGGTATCTATATTTTTTTCTAATACAAACGCAATGCAAGTTTATTAAAAATTATTTGTAGCTTTAATATTTTATATGGCTGCGATCAATTTAATATTATAATAATATTTTACATAGCTGCATCAATCGGTGCAAAATCCACTCTTAAGAGGATTATTTTGAATTCTTATAAAGAAATATTTAGCAAATATTATGTGTTTTCTATAGTGTCTCATGATATTTTGGTATTTCATCAAAATCGGTGCCCTATATAATAAAGCTGAAATAGGAACTATCAGTGTAGAAACCCAGCTTTCTACAAAAGACGTGTAACGGTAACGTAACTAAAATTGGTATTTTGGAGTACGTTATAGTGACGAGGCATTATCTGGTTCCATCAAAATCGGTGCATATCATTATTTAGCTGTCATAGGAAGGATCGGTGTAAAATCCCAGCTTATAACGACATCGTAACTAATATTGGTATTAAGAAGCATGTTATAAGTAGTCGCTCACCATGATTTGATAAGGATATTCTAAAGTTTTGTCACACTCGATGAACATTATAGTCGTGCATCAAAGTTTGAAATGAAGAACTTTTGTGGAAAAGGGGGAAAAAGTAGGGAAGACTCAAGCTAGCATTTTGTTGGCTGTATTGGTAAGAAAAGCAAATATTTGACTTCTTAGCCCCACACATAAATTTCAATTTCGTTGACAAATGTTTATTATGCTAAAGAAATTATGACAACCATCGGAATAAAAAATTGCTTTTCCCCCCAGGTTGAAAAGCTTCAATACAGCAGTATTGTTGTTGTATTTTTGAAAAAGGTTCATCAATTTTGATTTCTGCGTTATTGCCAATATGGGGAGTTAATAAATTGTTGCATATTAATAAGTTATAAATTAAACGTGTTGAACAAAGCAGCCGCGACAGAGACAAGTTTTTGACTTTGCTGAAAAATAAATGGGTGTTAATTAATAACTTTGGCTTTTTATCTGTGTGGCTTTTGAAAAATTGTAAACAATTACTTAAAGCTTCTTTTTGTTCCTTTCCATTTGATATGCATCTAACGTGGTTTTTTGTTTTGTGTGTTAAAACGTGTTGATATTGGCAATTAATATCCGAAATACACTTATTGTTCGTTTTCAAATGTAATTTGCTATTTCATTTGCATCATTTTGCAATTAATATACTAGTCGATTGTGTGTGTATATATTGTGTTCATTTCTGATATATATTTATTTGTATTTTTAATGAAAGCCCAAGGCAAAATGTAAACAATACGTTTGATAGGAAGATGCTTTTAGTGTCATTTGGACAGCAGCGCCCACCTTTTTATATGAAGCGATATATACATAAATATAACTATATGTGTATGTATATATGGGCAGCAAAATCGGTGAGAGCTGAGCGTGACATCATTTATCGCATACGGTCTTTTGTTTCGTGATAGTTCGGCTGAATGTTTTATGAGATTTGGCAACTCTTTTGGCTCTTTTTGGTGACACTAAATCGTTGCATTAATTTAATAGCAGTTGATTGAAATTTATGTTGTGTTTCTATTGGCTTAATGCTATTAACGCACAGATTTGAAAGCAATATGATATTGAGGCGTTTCGAGCTATAAATTCACTGATTGGCATGAGTTTTTAAACTGATCATTGGAAGACATTTTCAAAATTTGCATTTCGAGGCAGTCATCCAAAAAAAAAAAAGAAAAAATCAATTCCGTTCAACTGTTATGGCTTTGTTTTATATCAAAATTTTGGCGTTTTATTTTAATTTTGTTGTTGTATTAACATAGCCTTCTAGTGTTGATGGATATTTTCGTGATCAGTTTGGAGAGCGATTTATTGATTACTCCTATATCTGTCGTCTTTTGTGATGTCCAGATTCTTGGCTTGGACGACTACAAATGTATGGCTTATAGTATATAAGTATGTTGGGCCAACGGACATTTCAAAATAATGTGCGCAAAATAATTAAATTGGACAAAGAATTGGCACATTTTATTATCCACAAAATGAATGACTTAATTGAAATTGCACCATTCGGGAAGCAACAGCTTTCAAATAGGAAAAGAATCATCAAAATCGGTTCATCCTGTCGAATTGAGAACGTCCTCCTTACCAGAACCTAACCAAACTCTCATCAAAGAACCCTTGAAGTACATCCTAACAAATATAAAAAGAAACATCGGAATCGGTTGGCGTTATTTGTTTATTTGTCTTGCACATACCTAATGCAAAGTTTCGACTTATGTTTTAAAGTTCTCTCCAATGCATCGACATAACTGGAAGATTTAATCAAACGCTAGCATTTGATTATTTCTTAAAAGAGGTTTTCTTTCTAAAGGAATATTCCTTTTCCGAAGCTTATTTTACAAATGTGTTGTTTAAATAAAACTAAAGGTTGGAGACAGGTTTAATTTATTAAAAATTCGTGTTGCGTGTTCAAATGTTTTCAGAGTTTGTCCATTTCTTGCCTTAACCTTGTGTCAGGGCATAGGTCATCAGTGCGATGACGCCCGCATCGGACAAGGTGGTTATGTGGGGGCCTAAGCCGTCCACGAATCGATTGATCAGCGCAGCACCATATCGGCCCAAAAAGGCGATCGCCGCAATTCCGCCATATAGCGGATTACCTGCTTGGACTGCCAAGTAGGAGGCAGATAGTACGTTTCCAATCAGCACCAAATCCTTCAAGGTGTCCGTCGCGGTGTCCCAGTCATCGCACATCTTTCCGAGCATGTCGTACAGCAGCGGTATAAATGACAACATATGAACGATTGCCATACCCGACTGATCGGACTTCAAATAGAATTCGATATTTGCCATAGGCAGGGGCATGACCGCGATAATGCTAGCCGATACTATAAAGACGCGCGAACATTCGTCCGCCTCCTCTGCAAAGGCCCGGAGTATGCCCAACGTGCCATGAACAAAGCAAAAGGATGCGGCAATGTATCCGTAAGGATTGTCGGCAGGCGTTAAACTGTACATTGCATAGCAGCAAGCCGCAATGAGCAGTAAGTTAAATACCGCCTCTGCGTACGACATGTTGTGCCAACTTTGAACCGGAACTTAGCGGATGGAAAACTCTGGTAGGATTTTGGAAATTTTTGAAAAAATATTAAACCAAACGTACTAAAAATTTTGATAGTGCTTTTCGAAACAGTTTTTTAGAATGACTGACTGCTGTACAGAACAGCAAAGTCACGGGCAACAAATTCGAAATTTCACCGATAATATTTAACAAAACTTATAAATTTAGATTTGTTTTGTTTGAATAAACAACAATATTAACCAAAGAAAACAACCGACTTCAAACAATTCTAACACAAATTTATATGCAGAATTATTGCTTTTTTTTTGACCCATTAAAACCGTTTTTCACAAAAAAATTATTGTTTAAATTCTCAATAGACTTCAAGTTAAATAAAGCACATGAAACTTAAGAAAATATAATAAAAAAATTAAACAAAATATTTTCAAACGATATATAACTAGGAAAATTTCATTGTTTATATGTTAAAACTAAAAAAGTGCAAAACAAAACCATTTTAAACGACAAATATATTTTAAATGGAACACCCTTCGTTGTTCAAGACCGTCGTTATTCGAGCTGGCGTTGAATTCACCAAGTTTTGGAGCAATGGCTCTTGTAACTCTTTTGGAGTTGGTTAAAAATCCGTTTACGAATAAGTAAACGGTGAAAACATTTTCAAAGGATCCCGAAATTAATTAAAAAGCCCCTATTCTAGACGCTCATCAATGGATGGCAGTCGGGGCGAAATACGCATTTAAAATCTTGCGGCCAATGAATATCTCAGCCCATCGCAAATACGAAGTGTTCAATAAATATTGCCTTTAAAAGAAATTAATTAAGTCGGAGCTATTGTCTAAGCACAAAACTGCTTGATTGCAACTATAGAAATGATAAAATGTGCTACTAAGATACATATATACATACTGCTCTGTATATATACTAGTATATAGTAAGTATATAACGTGTTCGGAAAGTCAATCCAGCGGTGTTCTTTTCAAATTTCTAATTACTGTTCCATTTGCCGTTAGGCAATAAATAGTTACATTGTGGCGAAATGAAATCATTATTTAGCCTCAGACAACAACAGCCGCCTCACTTGCAGATGCTCTTCTGACTTCCAAGTACCCGGAAACCCGACATTCTCCATCTCTCTGTGTGTGAGCATAATAATCAACAGTAAATTGCACTTAAACTGAAACAGTTTGTAAGTAGTTATTGGCATGAAGCAAACAGAGAACACGTTGCCACAATGCCCCTGCCCCCCTGCCTGCTGCCTGCTGCCTGCCTCAAGTTGATTAAAAACAAAGTGCATGAGTTGAAGCCATTGCCGCTTAATTGTAAACTAGAGCACACGAGTATAGTAGTACACTGTTGCATTGCTACTTACGGCGGCAACATCAACAACAACAACAACATTTGCAACATTTGCGGTTGCAGTTGCGGCAAAATTATAATTTCATGTTCACAAGAACATTTGCACGCACTGTAATTTACTTAAGCATTTCTGCCTCCGTCTCAATATATGTATATATATATATATATAGTCACATGTATATATATGAATGCCGATGTGTGTGTGTGTGTATCTGTATAAATATGTTTTGTGCAAAACTCATAATTTATGTGACACGCCCATTAACAACAGCGCGCTGCATGAGCAGCAAACAACAAAAACAAAAACAAGTCCTCCAACCAAGCCTCATCACATATTGGCAAGCATACTAAGTGCAGAATGTTTTCTGACAAAGGAATAAATAATCAATTAATGACGAAAATATTTGTTTATATTTTCAAACTGATTTGTTTAAATAATATAGTATTCATATTTTAATATCAATTTTTAATATTTTAATAGCTGCAATACAAAATCTCTACTTTTTTAAACAAAAGTATTATTGTACTTTGCATTTTTCATTGTTTTTTCTTTTTCTTTTGAATGATTATTTATTACAAGTATTATTATTATTTTTTTTGTATTTACCTTTTTTTCATATTGACAGTTTGTGTTAGAAATAAATAAATAAATGATAATATCAATAAGTTATCGTAAGAACAGCAGCTGATTACTAATTAATGGAGACTTCATGGTTAATTAAATACCTACAACAAAACCACTACCCAACCATATCTCTCCTGGATATTCCGCCAATCTAAAGTAACTAACATAACTAAAGAAAAATGCACAAACTTTCGTTCTAAAAACATTAGTTTTTTTTTACCATAAAGTGGTTTTGGTTGTTTATATAAAAGTTACCAAATTGATTAAAAAAATTTAATATTTTATTGGATTCTATTCAAATATATATAGTTTTTTTTAGAACTACCTTTGCTGCAACTTTGATAAAAAATGTCTGAATGTCAATTTTTAAAGCTTTCTGCGGAGATAATATAAGATCACTCTTGATGTTGTGTTTCGGTTTATTTTTCAGTTTTGATAGGAAACTAGAACTACATCTTTATAGAGAAAACTTGCAAATATAAAATCCGACTAAAGGCTAGTTTCACTAAACATTCTCACAATAAGCAGGGAATAAATAATAAATAATAAAAATAACTAATAAAATTAACTAAAGCTTTATTAAATACTCTTATTGAAGCAAACTGGAATCGGTTGATATAATAAATCTATAGCTTTGTCTCCCCCAAATTTTTATTGAATTATATATATATAAATTTAAAAATTACGATGCTTTCCTAAAGCTTAATGCTCTTCCTGCACCCCAAATCAGCTTTAAATATATCCCACACTAATTCAATTGATTTGTCCAAATACGTTTGTGGCTCAGTGCAGCGACTAGTTGGTGCCGTCGTGATAGTGTCAGTTGCTCCATCAACAGCGCAATGTGCCGACACAATATAAATTATATGTATACACACTATATAACTGCATGTATGTATAGTATGTGTGTGTGTGTGTACTTCGTATAGGTATAACATATATTAGCAGCTCAGTTCTAGGCTGAGTCTGAGGCTGAGGTTGAGGCAGAGCTAGTCGATTATGCGGTGGCATCGCTGCGCATGCGCCGCTCTGTTTGCCCACGGCGTCAGCGCAAATCGAGTCACGCACCTTGATGTCGTGTCGAACGGTGTACGGACTGTCGGACTGAGGGACTGAGGGATTGAGGGGAGGGGCGACTGTAAACATTTCATTAAAATGCAACCAACACTGCACTTAGTTTGCCATGATATGGGTGTGTTTCGACTCCAAACTGTGGTCAATGAGCGGTTTTATGTTTTACTTCACTGTACTTAGCCACGTAAGAAGCCCAACAACTTACAACATTTTCTAAATATAGTACGCGGCATTTAACAAAATTGTTAAAAGGGGTGTATGTTTTGGAAAAACAAGTACAGGAGTCTTTTATACTATCAATATTTTTTAGCAGTTACTTCTTTTAAAATATATATTTACTTCTACAACTTATTTTTGTCAATTGCTTTAGCTCAATAGAACCTTCCCTATTTTTTTTTATTTCGTTTTAAATACTTATGTAATATTTGGAAAACTATGCTCTAAACAAATTAGACAAATAATTTGGAAAAGAACGAAAGCAGCGTAGTTATACTAGTTCATCCTTTTAGGCCTTAAAAAAAGTTCTTTGAAATAACAGCAAATATTTTGTCGGATCCACAGCTTCCACTCTTTTGTGATTTCTTTAGCAATGCCGTACTGCTTTTCCCAATTTTTAAACAAATTTTTTCAACTATCTCAAAAAAAAAAATTGAAGAAGATCATACATTTGAAACCTTTCTTATGCTATGCCTTTTGGCTAATTTGAAACTGGACATAGTTTGTTAATACATTTAAAGAATTGAATGCTGTTTAGGATATGCAGTCATCAAATTTAAAGCTTTTATTGTAGAATTTTCAGAACAGTTGTATGACTGGCAGATCAGGAGTCTTCAATTAGAGATAAAGCACGAATGTGGTTGACAACTTGGCAATGCTTGGGATTTAGGCAAAGAATGTTCACCATAATGCCAGTTATATACTTAATGCCAATATTCCAGCCCTATACCCAGTTGCTGCTTAGCAATGAATTCTTTAGATTTACCAAAATATATGTATTTATTATTATTATCCCGAAGATGAAAATAATGCATGGAGTGAAAATGCAGGCGATTTTTTGTGTCCGGAACAGAAAAATGGAACCTTAAATATTCCAATGCATAAAGTTAAGTGCTAAGACTTTATTTCAAAATAAGTACATACTCTCTAGCTAATGTACTATATATGTGATTATATATGTACACTGAAAAGTGGCGGTCTAAATTCGAGCCAAAGTTCATCTCTAATCGTACTTAAAGAAGTAAATTTGCTTGAGATATCGAGTCTATCTTCTCTACCAGGGTGTTAACAATACGTATTTAAGGCGATTGATTTGTTTGCGTGCTGTGCGCTGCACTGGACTATGCCAAGGCTTACAATAAAGCTGTCAATAATTTATCCCCAAACCCAAATATCAAATCCTAGTCCCGAAATGGGTGGCCCCAAGTCACATTTTATGCATTGGCAACACATTTCGACCCAATACACTGCAATTGAGTTGTCAAGTGTGCCCAAAGCTACATAAACCGAATGTTTGTTGTGCATTGAAATCAATAACCCCAATCCGTGCTGTTGCAGCTGCTGAAATGCCGCTGGAGTGGCATATATCTGACACCCATTCGAGAGCTGAAATCAATGGGTCATATGCAATACCCTGGGGACCAATACAAAAAAAACTACACACATAGACAGGGGCGATTATGAACGTCGATGAAGTGGTAGCTTTATTTTTGTTGAACTCTTCATACTTCCGTCAAACAACTACACAAGGCTCGTCCTCGATGTTCCGGGAGGGTGTCTAGCGCGTGAAATCGCCACATTTGAAACACTTGCAGTCAGTTGGCTCCCGCAAACGGATGTCCATGCTCGACATTTCCGGGGAGGTGAGGCGCGTGCCATCCGGATCATAGCAATGAGTTAGAGTAATTACCTTTTCCTTGAGGAAGCTTTCGCGGCAGCAATAGCACTCCTGAAAAAATGTAATTCAAATTTTGTTTCTTTCAAAATTCAAATCTTGCCAAATACTGATTGAGTGATTGATTGTGTGGCGGGGAGCCTCAATATATAATATTTAAGAACAAATATTTCTAATAAGTTGGCAAGCATTATCTAGAGGTTTCATTTTTAAATGTTGGTTTGCTGCGGAATCGGCCTCAGATTTAGCCATAACGCGACAGTTTTACATTTTTATAGCCTGTACCCAAAGGGTGAAAGGCTATACTAGTTTTGTGCGCATGTATGTAACACACAGAAGGAGGCGTGGCAGACCCCACAAAGTATATATATTCTTGATCAGGATGAGAAGCCGAGTCGATATAGCCTTGTCCGTCCGTCCGTCCGTCTGTCCGTCTGTCTGTCCGTCTGTCCGTCTGTCCGTCTGTCCGTCTGTCCGTATGAACGCAAGGATCTCAGAAAGTATAAGAGCTAGAATAACCAAACTTGGTTTCCATATTCTCCTAAGACCGAGAAAGTACGAGTTTGAGTTTTTTTTCGATGCACCCCCCCACTCCCCCGCAATTCGTGTTTTTTCTTATAACTTCCGTAATTCTCGGAATTTGGAAATCAATTTTGGTAGGTACATCCAGTTAGTACTAATGTGTCCGTGTGCCAAATTTCATCATGATAGGTCAATTCTGAAGAAAGTTATAGCCATAAGTAAAATCGCTGCTCATGCGCTGCCTCTGTCGGCAGCGCTGCCCGCAGCTGTTGTTGTTGTTGCTGCTTTGGTTCAACTTTGTGCTGCATACATACACGCATATAAACACGCATAGGTACGTGATGTAAATGTATGCTGTTAAAACTAAACATAAACATATATTCTAATTTAATTAAATTAATTAATTCATTAATTTTTTTTAATAATTTAATTTTTTTTTTTTAATTTTTCTTTTTTGTGGAGAGTACAGGCTATTTTACTGTCGGGCTTGCTCGACTGTAGCGTTCTCTCTTGTTTATATATGAGAACACTCTTACAGAATTTTCAAAACTGCAATTAATTTTATAAATGTAATTTTTTTAAGCGCATCGAGTCTTATACTCGGGAACAATTTCACATTATCTAGAATTTCAATTCGAAAAATGACAAAAAAAGATCTTAAATTTTAACATAAACCCATTTCCAACAAGAGAGAACGCTACAGTCGAGCAAGCCCGACAGTGTAATACCCTGTACCCAGGTAAACTTGCGTCACTGAGTTATATGCGCCCATAGCAGCAGCAAAAAGAGGAAGAAGAAGAGTGAACTTGTTGCTGCAGTTTGTGGGGGTTGTACTGGCGAAAATTTGTTTTGCTAATAACTTTTCTTAGAATTGACCGAATTGAATAAAATTTTGAACAACAATAGACAATTATATACAAATTATGTGTGCAAAGTTTGGTTTAGGTAGCATTTGAAATGTGGACGCTATTGACGAAATTCTGTAGCGGGGGAAGGGGGGGAAAATTCCAAAAAATAAAATAAACTCGTCCTTACTCGGACCTAGGAGAATCTGGATGCCAACTTTGGTTATTCCAGCTTTTATAGTTTCTGAGATCCTTGCGTTCATCCAGACGGACGGACAGACGGACAGACGGACAGACGGACGGACAGACGGACAGACGGACGGACATGTCTAGATCGATTTCTCTCGTCATGCTGATCAAGAATATATATACTTTATGGGGTCGGAGATGCTTCCTTCTGTATGTTACATACTTTGCACAAACCTAATATACCCTTTTTACCCTACGGGTACAGGGTATAAAAATATCGAGCTACAGTCGCGATAATAACATGAGCAAAGTTTTTTCGAAAATTAAATTCAAATTAAAATTAAATTAAAATTAAATTGTTGGGGTAGTTGAAGTCGAAAAGAAACCAATGTTGTGCACAATTTGTCTCAAAAATTTGTAAAGAATATACTAACAGCTAGTAAATAAAAACACAAATAAATTTCTATAAATGTTAAACAATTCTGTAATACAGGTATTGGTTTTTAACGTTTCTGATCAAAATCATTTTTGTGAAATTTTCTTCAGGCAACCAAACCCTTTGATTTTATAATAACTTGATGTTAATTTTCATTATTAGTACCTAATTTTATATAAATAATTTAAGAAAACAATGTACCAGATATTGTTAGAAAAAACTTTGAATTGTTGACGAAAGATAACAAAAAATTTTACACAATTCACAATTGTCCTCCTGAACATACGAATAATAATAGCTTTGGGATTAGGGCGCTTCATTGGTTTCTGGGTAATATAAAAGTATTTATGAAGAAATGTTTTGTTTATAGAAGCTCTCTATTTTTTCAAAGGCGCTGTTTTACAAAAGCTAGACCAATTCTATTAAGTCCAAGTACGAGCTTAGTTAAATGTCTTGAATATGTTAAAAGCACCCTTTCTGTTACCAAATAGCTTCGATCAGTGTTATTTGTTTTGTTGTAGAGATAATTGTGTTTATACTGACTTTCAGAAACCCCGTCGGCGTAATCACAGATGGTTGCACCTGACTGTTGCACAGTCCTTCGCACTTATTCACAATCACATCTGCATTGCAGGTGCGCTGCATGCGTCCCAGCTCGTCGAATTCCTCCTTGATGAGATGAATTTCAGATTTGAGAGTCTCGCAATTCTCATCTCCAGTTCCCTGGCTGTAGCGCAATGCGTGGAGACTATGCGGCAGCAGCACCGCAACGAGCAGCAATTCCCGAACCTGCATAATCGACGAGTTCCCTTTGCAACTGTTTGCCTCTGGGTTATCCCAGTCGTGCTTTTATACTCCCAGATATCCCATGTGCTCAGTACACCACGGTTCACAGGTCAATGATTCGATTAGATTTTATATGACTGGCTGATTGAATGTTTGTGTACGCGGCACAGCGTGTGGGTGTTAAGCAGAAAGTCGGTTAGCAGTCCGTTATATTGTGGTAGGACCCACATAACAACATACCAGTACACACATGTACTACTAGGTCTTAATTGGTGCTTAAATCGAATGGCTATGGTGTAGTCGTGCGGAAAAGGGACTTGCAGGAGCTGTGTAAGCTTTATGATTGCCCATAAATTGGGGCAAGTGCTTCAAGAAATCGAATGGGAATCAATATATAATATTGCAGCAAATAAAAATTAAAATAACAAAATAATAATATTTCATGAAAGCAATACAAAAAGGTGTAGCCATTAGAAAATAATTGTGGCAATTAATTGCACTTTAGTGGATCCTTTCTTTTCACTTTTCCTTTCACTTCCACTAATTTCTAAGTCCATCACAAATTTATTAAAGACATGAATGAATCACAATTATGACAAAATTATAATTAGAATTTGACGAATTAGTCTAACGTCGAAGTAGCTATCTTATCTGCATTATAAGAACAAAATAACACAAACATTTGGACAATTCTGCAGAAAAATGTTGGATTTATATTAACAATTAAATAAGAAATGTTTGTATAATAATAAAGGAACCTAAAACAAAATCATGTGCTTAAATATTTAACAGTTGGCTTGAACTAATAATCTGAAATAATAATACAATCTCCACAACCCGTTGATTTTCGGCATAGTCAAGAAATAAACAAATTTTATACTACATTTTTATTTGAATGCCAATTTTAGCAAATATTTTTTAAAGCTGATTGCTTCCATATAATGTGTCACTTTTTTTTTTAAATTTTTGGAACCATTTAATATTTCCTTTCATCCAACGTTAAAGCGGAAGTGTTGAAAAGACCGCTTTTCGTGCTTTTCTATAATAATTAATAAAATAATTATTTGACTAATTAATTATTATTATATAATGTTAGCTTACAGTAAAAAAGGGTAAGATAACGTTCTTCAGCTCCTAATAGTTGACCATTATTTTATGTTATTTATATTTATTATTTAGATTGGATTATCTTGGGAATTGTATAATTAATTGATTAATTAATTAATTGAGTGTAATACATTTTTAAATTAAGAACTGGCTTTATTAATGGGTTCGGATGCATTAGGAATTTTAAAGAGTAGTTTTTCTTGCGCTGCTTAATTTTATTTCTCATGGCTGGTATTTGCAAATCTTGTTGGTTGTCATCTTTCCGAAAATAAATACTACTATGGGGCTCTAGGTATTGTTCATAGAACTATCGACTGACCCCCTTTGGATAATGTCTATGTTATCGCATTTTGTAGTTAATGCTTTTTAAAATGTTAAATATGGTGTATCTGCAGTTGAAGTTGGGCGTAAATGCTAAAGTTTAAATATTACTGGTAGCTTTGTCTATAATGTGGCTAATGAGGCAGCCTTTTTGTTGCCCCTAATATCAGTCTGGCTGGAAATGCAGATTGATTGAATTTATTGCTTCTTCTAGCCCCAGTTTTGAAGGCTACAAATTTCTGTTATGGACATTAGGGGTAAGAAAGAGAGTTCATTTTACTGCCATTGAATCGCTATTACTTAACCATGGAAAACTGTTGAATATTACAAGTAGTGTAGAATGTCAGTTATTGGTTGTTCTGAGTGAGTTAATTATAGAATTGTTTTAAGTTACTAAAATAAGGCATAGCCATCTAATTAAAGCAGCGTTGAAACATCGTTGATTAAAAGCGCTGCACTAAAAATGCTCTTCAAATACGCGTATATATGAATATGAATACAAAAGTATGCCAGTGGCGCAAAATGCAATAAATATGTGAACAATATATAGTAGACGAGTATACAAAATTGTGCGAGAATCGCAAGAAAAACAAAAGCGAATGATGAAAATAGGCAGCAGAAGCAGCAGCAGCAGCCTTTATCGTCGACATCGCATCGACATCGGCAGTGCCGGGGGGGCAGGCAGGAACTGAAATCGTTTTTGCACTGGGGGTAAAAATAAAATCAGCATTTTTAGTAGTTAATTTAATTTATTGCAACATTTTTATGGTTGACTTTATTGCATAATAAAACATAATTTACTGCGCCATTGAGACTTGCGTCGATGATTCTAAAGCGCAGGCAAAAACACACACACACACACATATATATATGCATATACATGCGAGTATAAATCGGCGCATGGTCGTTTAGTTTGTTTGGGCCACAAGATTGGGCCAAACAGAGGCAGAAATCGGCAACAGTGCCGCTGTTGCCGCGTCGAGTCTTGCGAATATAATTCTGTTTACGTTTCTGGTTGCCGGCAATTGGGAGCGCACACTCACACAAAACTGGGGGCGTTCCTGTAGCCGTATTATGTGCCTCCTGGGCGCAGATGCAGGGGCGTTTAGAGTGTTCGCCGCCGCATGTTCAGGTTAAGCGTATTATTGGCCTCTGATTAAAGCTGAAATATGTCGGCTTGATGGCCGAGCATAACGAATGTGTGGATATTGTGTGCATGTGTGTGTGTGTGTGAGTGTGTTTGTGCAGTTCAACTTTCATAGTTCAGCTAATGCTGGCTGGCTACTGGAATTGCCGCCGACCCCAGCATGAATCACTATATCACTATATCAATAAAAAAGCGAAAATTTATAAATCATTTGCTCGCTTTATGAACATTTTAGAGGCAGCTTGCATAAACACGTATTTGCATTGCTGGAAATATTAATACGTTCCTTCAATTGGTTCCATTTCATAACTTTTTATGATAACGATGTGTGCTTATATTCGTTGCATAGCAATATAATAAATAGATTGCTCTTTTTTTTTTAGAAAAGTTAAATACTTTTGACTGCTAGCGAAAAAAATTGCGATTAATGTTTGTTTTATTATACAAGTTTTTCGTAAATTGTGAAAACTGACGAAAATATCCGATTTATATTTAAGCTTAAGTGTTATTCAATGTTTATTATAGATTTATATCAACTCCCTATATATATAAGTGAGCGAGTGATTTTATGAGTCTCTCTAGCCCCAAAAAGTGTGGACCCAAAGCTACAGAAGCACGACATATACCATTTATTCATCACTTATATTATAGCTATTATAATAAACCATATTACTTTGCTTTTCCCCCACGTTTCTAAACATTTTTCACCAATCAATCCTGGAATAATTATAAAAGATATGTGTGTTTTAATTGTGTAGGAGTTGATAGCGAAAAAAATCAACTATGTGAATGAGACTGTCTCGCTTTAGAAAAACACGCTTTAAGCGCAAAAAATGTAATATGGCTGGCTGTAGAGCTTCTAGAAAACCAACAAAAATAAGTAATAAGTAAATAAACATAATATTAATTATAATTATATCTATCTACAAAAATAAGTAATAAATAAATAAACATAATAATCATAATGATATCAATCTATATGGCTGGCTCTAGACCTACAAAAATAAGTAATAAATAAATAAACATAATATTAAACATAATTATAATTATAGATATTTCAGTCATAACTAATTCAGCGAACAATCCATATTTCCAAGTGTAAAACGCTTATCACAATCGTACTTTTATAATGTGAAGGAAAATAATGTGAATAACTATTTGCAACAGCTTTAGTTATCGATATACTAAATAAATTAAATTCAATTAAAAAATATGTATTTAGGTTAGCTTTTTTAGTTTTGTTGTTATTATTTAGTTTTAGCTTTTTTGATGAACTTTTTTATATTTTCCAGGGTTCAACTTGCTGTGGGAATGTCCATAAAATTAAACTTCTAAATTGTTGGAAACCAAAGTATGTATAACCAATCTATTATTATTACTATATATTAGTATTTTTATAGTCTTTGTTGTTAGTATTTTCGCATACAATACTCTCTTTTTTACCCAAAAACATGAAAGGGATCTAATTTTCAAACCGTTTTATATCAAAATTGTGTAAAAAAAGACCGTGTAAAAACAGAATTAGGTGCACTAGTTTAGTGCAAATGTAGGAGTGGCAGACCCCCCAAAATTACAATTATTCTTGATCAGTAAGAGAAGGCGAGTCGTTCTAACCATGCTCGTCCATCTGTATGAACGCAAGGATCTCAATATTTAGTCCAAGTGTAAGTAAGGAAAAGTTGTACTGGGTGCAGGGTATTTACAAGTTGGGCACTTCATTCTTATTTAGCCATCTGTTTGTAAACAATTGCGATTCGGCTGAGCTTACATAATTGAGAGCAGGCACACATTCGCATTCGCAATCACATACGCATACATAAGTCAACAGCTCGTTGCTGCAGGCGCTGGCCAAATTGGCAAACACAGTCGGCGAACAACTTCAAAGACTAACGCAGTCCCGAAAATAATTTGCCATACAACTTTTTCCAGCTTTCAGTTGCAAGGCAGACGAACAAACTGTTACGATAAAAAAGAAGCGGAAAAAAAAACAAAAGCGCAATGTATTAAATAAATAAATAAATATGACACATAAATACACAAACGAGCAGAGAGAAACAATGGGGAACGTACCTTTTCGCAACAACAAAATATAAAATAAAATCCAGACCAAACCGCAATAACAAAGCCGAAAAAAATAGCACGGTTGTGGCACAAAGGCCACCCGACCGACAGACCGAGAGACAGACCGAGCGACCAAACAACAACAGGACCGACAGTTAATTCCGCGAAAGAGGAAATTACAATTCATGCCCTGTGGCTGGGCGTCCATGATTATCAGATCGAATTAGTGTCTGACTGGCTGACTGGCTTTCTGGACTGCATGCCAGCCTTCCTTTTGTACATGCGTGCGTGCCTATGTGTGTTCCTGTGAGTATGTCTGCTGGACATCCTGAGGGCATATGTGCACATTTTTCCTTGTTTTGTTGCTATTGTT